GCCGGCAAGGTGGTCACCATTTACTTTGGATGTCACTCTGGTGTGCCCCCCTCTGCCCCCACCGATGTTCCCCTCGTATCCTGGACCCCTCAAACATCCCTCCTGCATATCCACCCCTCCCTCCTTCAGTGCCAAAGCATGTCCACACTCACAACTGGAAGCTCTCGTTGTACTTGGGGGCCCAGCTGTTGTTCTTGGACTTGGTGGCAAACTTGCGCTTCTTGTCACTGAGCTGGGGCCCAATAATGTTGACCTCGATGAATGGCCGGAAGATGCCCGAAGTCTGCCACTTGAGGTCATTGGCAGCCACCACTGTGCAGGACAGAAGAAGGTAAGGTTAGTCAGGGTCACGGAGGAAGGCACAGCTGTGGTTTTCAAAGCCAATCTGAAATAAAGACTACATTTCCCAGCAAGCCCTGCAGCTAAAAGCAGCCACATGAGTTCTGGTCAAAGAGGCGAAAAGAAAGGGCTGTCTGAACTTCTGGGGGGTGGTTTTAAAAACCTGGGCGTGGGCCCTACACTTCTTCCCACTCCTGGCTGCAGGTTGGAATGGTGGATGGGACTGAGCCCTGACACCCCAGAAAACTCCCTGCCACCAAGTCAGTGCCAGTTCACAGCGACCCTCCAGGGCAGGGTAGAACCACCCCTTTGAGTTTCTGGGACCGTACGTGTTTCTGGGAGTAGAAAGCCCCATCTTTCTCCCGCGGAGAAGCTGCTGGTTTCGAATGGCTGACCTGGCAGATCTCAGCCCAATGCACAACCTCTGTATTCCCAGGGCTCCCCGTGAACCCCACGGAGAAGGAGCATGCACCGAGGGTCACATGGCTGAGATGGAAGAGGGTTTGGATCCCCAGGACTGCAGAGCCTACGCTTCAGCTCTAGGCAAACTGTGCTTGTATCGGTCACTGCAGGAGAAAGCAAACCAGTTGCCAGAGAGGGACACTAGCTCCCCGTGACCCCCTGGGTATCGGTATAGCTGGGCTCTAAGGGTTTCCATGGGGTGCTTCCTCAGAAGTCGATTGCCAGGCCTTTCTTCGGAGGCGTCTCAGGGTGAACTCCAACCTCTGACCTTTCGGTTAGCAGCTCAGCTGCTTACCCACTTGCACCATCCAGAGAAAAAGGCATTATTTCAGGGCTCGGTTACAAGCACCCAGCCTATATTCCCCAAAACTCACTGCCATAGAGTCGATGCTTACACATAGCGACCCCATAGGGCAAGGTAGAACTGGCCCGGTGAGTTTCTGAGATGGTTTAACTCTTTACTGGAGTAGAAAACCCTGACTCTCCTGTGGAGAAAGGAGGAGCTGGTGGTTGTGAACAGCAGACCTTGCAGGTAGCCTACCCTGTCACCACTATGCCACCAGGGCTCCTGATTCACAAGAGAAAAGCAAAAAAAAAAAAAGGTAAGCCAAGCTGAGGGAGATGGCATCATCCACCAAGTCTGGATCCAGCCATGCCTGATGCCTGAGCAGGGTTTACTTCTGACCATTTCCATTTCATGAACCATGAGAGATTCCCCCTGCCCCTTGCTTCAGCCAGTTTAAGATGGGTCCCTATCTTTGAATGGAAGGAGGACCGAGCCCACACCCTCCTCGTGTTGACCGATTGCCGGCCCCTCACCTTTCACTGTGACTTTGTGCTCGCCGGTTCCGGGGTGTGTGAATAGCTCCACGTGGACCGACACTTCACCCACTGGATCGTCCACGCCCGAGCCTGGCCAAGGTGGGAGGGTGCTGGCGTGAGCCCTCTTCTTCTCCACTCACCGGGGGGACTAAGACCACCTCCCCACCCCACCCCATGCTGGCAGCACCTGGTCATCAGCCCTGACAGTGGCACTGAGGGGGGCTGGGAAGGGAGGTGCTCTTGAGGGCTCTAAGACGCCCTGGTTCTGGCCTCTCTCCCTCTTCCTGTGTGATATGGGGCAGATGCCTTAACCTCTCTGGGCCTAGGCCCCTCTGCCTGCCTTCCCCTCGTTCGAGTGACCTCCACCTTGTCATCTTGCACACCACCTCTGCAGCTGTTGGTACCCTGGCCTCCTCCTGTGCCTCGGTTTCTTTTCTTGGCTTCGATGCTACCGTCTTCAACCTACCACATCAGCCGCTCCAGCACACCCGCCTTGGCCAGTTCCTTCTCTGCTGAGGGTCCTGAAAGTGTAGGGGCGTCCCACACCTTCTTCCCGGCCCCCTTCTTTGTTTTCATTCTCCCTCAAAGTGCTGTTACGATGACAAAACCAAAAGGCTCTCTCCCTTCCACGTATAGCCATCATCTCCCCCACCTGCTCGGCCTCGATCCCGATCTGCCTCCCTCCCACCATCACTCACCTGGGCTACTGCAGGGGCCTTTGGAATCGCCTTCCACACACTAGGGTAATGTAATCAAATGTCCTGGGATCACCTTCCACGAGATAATATGATGTAATGTCTCCATCAGTGGAGGTCATGCCACAGTAGGATCGATCCTAAGTCTAATCACTTCGGAGTTCCACAGAGAGCAGGAAAGATGCAGACATGCACATGGGGAGTGCAAACCCCCCATGAGGACCCTCTAACAGGCCACAGGAAGCCAGGAGCCATGGAACCAACGAGGAAAGGATCGACGTGGCTGAGACCCTGGTTTGAACCTGGAGCCTGTGGGGACATTTCCATCTCTCCTTTATAGCCGCCTCCCTTATCTCCTCGCTTCCGCCCTGCTCCCGTCTCAGACACTGCTCACACCAGAGGACTACCAGGGGGCTTCAACAGTCCATGGAAACAAGGAAGGAAAACAGAATGGAACTTCCTCCACGAACTTTTTGGTATCCCTTGTTTTATTTAGAAAGACCATGTCCCTGCACTGCTCAAAACGCTCCCATAGCGCCCATCTCCCTCTGTCATAATCAAAGTCCTTTCTCCGACCCAAGAGGCGCTGTCTCCTTCACTTGCTCTAACTCTGATCCAGACCCTGGATCTGATCACCCCTGGAAATGAACAGCTTGTAGGAATTCTGTTCTTTTCCTTGCCCTCACTGGGTTACGCTTCCGACACAGAATCACCACTGTCTGCGGAGGAATGCCCCATCCTCACCCCAGACCTGGGTGTTCAGGTTGGACAGGTGCCTCCAACTCCGCTTCCCTCCCTCACGGCCACCCAGTCCACTCTGACTCATGGCCACACTCTTAAGGCAGGGACGAACTGCTCCTGTGGGTATCTGAGGCTGTACATCTTTATGGGCACCAAAAGCCTCATCGTTCTCTCTTGAGGCAGCTGGTGCATTGGAACTGCTCACCTTGTGGTTAGCAACCCCTGGTAACCCACTAGGCCAAGGGGGCGCCTTAGCCTGGCTTCAGGATAAATGAACCAGAAGCCCCCAATCAGAGCAGTCTCTGTCCATAGCTGCAGTGATTGGCTCAAGGGTGGCCATGTGCCCCAAGCCAAGCAAATAGGACTCGTCCCTGCCATTTTGGCTGAAGTTAGTAGAGTCTCCATCTTTAGGCAACAGGTGGGTGCGACGTGGGAGGGGGCGATGTTGAAACTTCCACAGCCTTTTCTTTACCCAATGAGGGTGAAAAGTGACTTAGTAACCTCAACCAGAAACAAAAGAACAGGCTTGTCCTTCCACCTATACACCTTATTTAAGAACTAGTCCCTAAGCTCACGTTCACGCGAGACTTCCTCACAGAAAAGCCAAGACCCCCTGCACTTCCTACACGTGAAAGAAAGGGCGTGGAGCCCAATCAAGACCCTGCTTCTCCACTGCAAGCAACTGCTTTGGCGTTTAGAACAGCTTTCCCACAACCTGTCCCATTCCTTCCAGCCCCCTTCCTGAAAGATCCTATACAAAGAGACCACCAGCCATCTCAAATCCAACTCCTTGACATCACCTGTCGAGGCCAAGCTGCCCCCTTGCAGCAATTTGGCTCACTTCCAAGTAAAATCTTTTGAACCCTTTGTGTCCCTTGGTCCAGAATCTGGTGCTTAACAGTTGAACCCAATGCCGGATGGTACCTTCCGAGGCTCTGGATCAAGTCTAGTCTTTCCGTTCTGCTGCTGTTGTGAAGCGCCATCAAGCCTGGGCTGATCCCCAGGGCCCCCTCTACAACGGAATGAAACACCACGCGGCCTGGGCCATGCTCACAACCTGGACCACAGTGGGGTCCACCCATCTCCACGAAGGGTCTTCCTCTTTTTTGCCGACCCTCTGCCTCTCGTTCTAGACCTTTGGCTTCCATAGTCAAGGGATTCCCTCATCGGCCCGAGCCAGGATGGGGAGCTCCTGTGTTCCCAACCACCAAAAGCCCCACTGTGCTTCGCGCTGTCTTGAGGTTTGGGGTTGAAGGGGCAGTTTAAAGATATCTGTCCTCAACCCTCCCTCTGTGACTTCAGGAAACACATGCTGTCAGGCCTGAGGACCTGTGACTGCTAGCACCTCCCTCCCTTTCTCCCCTCCCCAGCCTGGAACCCCACATGCATGGGTAGAGGAACAGAGGGCAAGTCGGGGTGGGGGTTGGGTCCGTCCAAGGTTGATCCAGGTTACCTCACGCTAGACTGGAAGTGACTGAGGCTAGGGGAGGGGGCGGCCCAGAGACCCCATCACCTTGGTACTGGGGTGCATGCCCCCCATCTTCACTGCCTATCCCCAGCCACCTTCTTGGCCATCTCAGGCGTCTGCCCCACCCCCACCAGTCGCATGCTCAGCCTCACCGCCCCTCCCCCCACCTCCCAGGCCGATGCTTTGCAGCAAGCTCAATCCGGGCCAGACTGGGGGTGCCAGGGTGGAGTTTGGCAGTGGTGGGTCAGGTGAGGGGTCAGACCAAGGCCAAAGCTAGTAAGAAGGAGGGAGGGGGGCAGTGCTGGGCGCCCCCATCCCGTGCTTTGCTGGCTCCAAGGGGAAGGGCGGTCTGTGTAGCTCTGTTTCCCAAAACCCCACTCCCCAACTCTTGGGCCCCACCCATAGGGAAACGGCCTCCTTGGGCAAGTGGCTTCAGACCCCTGAGACTCAGTATCCTCATCTGTGGAGGGATGGACCTCCACCCCCACTCCACGGGGCAGTTGGGCCGAACTTTTGGAATAATTCTTAGCCAGTGCATTTAGTGCCTGCTGTAAATGTTCCTTGTTTTCTATCCTGGGAAAAGGCCTAAGGTATTGGACCAACACTGTAGTTGATAGTGGCTGTGGAGTGGGTTCTGACTCAGGCCCACGAGCATGCGCAGAGCAGAACTGTGCCTCGTCGCCTTTTCAAGGAAGCCGATCGCCAGCCCTTTACTCCGAGGCACCCCAGGCCAATTGGGAGCACCAGACTTTCGGTCGATAAGTAACCCAGGGCTCACGCCACGTCGGGAGCCGGCAACTGGCTAAGAACAGCGCCCAACTGAACTCGCCTAATCTTAAAGGAAAACCGTGAGATCGGCCCAGGAGTGCCCCCATTTCACAGATGAGGAGACTGAGGCCGGGGGTGGGCCGGTTCGGATCAAAGCCCCGCTCTTGACCGCACGGGCAGCTTGCCCGGGAACCGGGATCTGAACGAAAAGACGCGCCTAGAGAGGACAGGGTCGTCTCCAGTCGCCTCTCCTTCCCGGGGCGGAACCAGCACCCCGTCCTTCCGCCTCGCAGCGCGGGTCAGCGCGGGCCGGGCCGCGGGCCGGGGAGGAGGAAGGACGGGCCTTTTACTAGCCGGGGAGCCGGGAGGGGCGCAGGCACCGGGCACCGTGCGCAGCGGGCGGGCGGGGGGGCACGTACCCTTCTCAGGATAAATTTCTTCACTAAGGGTAAACCTAGTCCCTTTGCCACCATGGACTAATCAGGGGGAGGGGAGAGGCGGGGGGAGGGGCGGAGAGACAGAAGAGCGAGAGGATGGAGGGGCGAGTGCGTGGGGGGAGCAGGGGAGGCGCGGAGGGGGTCGGCGAGTGAGAGGGAGGAAAAACAAGAGAGAGAGAAACGTCAGCGGCAGACGACGACGGACAGACAGACGGCCTCCCGCTTCGGGGCGACGCTGGTGACGCGCAAAGCCAGGGAGCTGAGCGTGGGAGTCCTGTGGCTCCGGGAGGGCCCCGGGGGACAGAGTGGGGGTCCGAGCAGCGGGGCTCCCTCCAGACTCTATCCGACCTCCAGTTTCCAGGGCGCCCTCCCCCCTCGCGAACAGCACCCTTTGGGGACAACTGTGAAGAAGAGAGGGTCCCCAGGGAGAGGAGAGGACTCCGGGGTCCTGCCCCCCCCCCCAGCCCCAACTGCTGGAAGGGAGCTCTGAGAAAGAGGGGGGACAGAGGGGAGAGAGAGAAGATTATGAGGCAGGTAGTGGTGGGGGTGTCCTACAGCTCCTTAGCCACATAACGTCAGAGGTTCCGCCCAGAGCTGGCCCCCAAACCTCTCAGGGACTGCCCACCCCAGAGCGAGCCACCGCTCTTGGAGCCAATGATGTAGAAGTCCCGCCCCCTGGAACTGTCAATCAATTTAATGTCGTGGGCGGGGTTCGTGTCCGCCCCCATAATCTCCGAAGGCACTCTAGCCCAGAGCTGCCAATCACGCCCCAACCTAGCGGAGATGACGATCATCCCCTGGTCCTATGACGTCATAGGCCCAGGACTCCTCCAAGACTCCAGGGCGCGCCCAGGAGTTGTCAGGCGCTGTCCAGGGCTGCCCAGCCCATGAGGTCACAGAGGGGCGAGCCAATGGCTGCCGAGCCGGCTTCTGGCTGGGCTGGGCTAGCAGGAGTGAGCCGGCGCAGCCCCCTTACCCTGGGCTGCCTGCGTCTGCACAAAGGTCTTGATGAGCAGGTCAGTGGCCTGTGTGTAGAGGGACAGCGCGTAGCGCAGGGACTGCAGGTCCGGGCTCTTCTCCAGAAAGGTCTTTTTGAGGCCCACGCCGCCTGCGTGGAAGTATTGCTGGGAAAGGGGTGGAGAGAGGAGGAGGGAAGGATTTGAAAGACCCAAGCCAGGTTGGACCACTCGCTTCTCATTTCTGCCTCAAGGCCTTTGCACGTGTTCGCCGTTGCCTGACAAACTCACATGCATTCCTCAAAACACTACCTCTCATTACCACCACCACCTGCCAGGAAGTCCAGCGGGCCCATCCGCCCCTCTACCCGGGCCCTGACCCCACACCGCTGGAGATGGCTGTGCAAAGAGGTCTCCCCAGACTCGTGCTCCCCAGAGCCCCACCATCACCCACTCTGGCTCTGGCACAGAGGGGACATCAGGCGTGAGTTCAGGTGGGTCGAGCTGTCCCTCTGGTGGGGGCGGGGTGAGGCGCTCACCTTGATGGTGTCCAGAGCCAGCTCGACGACAGCACACTGCTTTGGGGTCAAACTCTTGGCTTCTTCTCGAACCATGTGGTCCTAGACAGATGGAGAAAGGGACCAGGTGGGCGGAGCATCAGGGACCCTTTGAGGCAGGGGACATATCTTTTCACGAATGGATGTCTGATCCTCAGCAAAGAGTAAATATTTTTAAACGATGAGTTTCTTGTTAAGGTTCCCATGGAGTATGTGCTGGAATCCTAACCTTGTGCCTGTGGGTGCGACCCTTCTGGGGAAGCCTTTGTTAAGTTAAGGAGACCATAACCAGTGTCCAATTCCTAGACCAGTGCTTCTCAACCTGTGGGTCTCAACCCCTCTGGTGGGTCGAATGACCCTTTCACAGGGGTCGCCTAAGACCATTGGGAAACACCTATTTCCGATGGTCTTAAGAACCGAGACACCGCTCCTCTATCTGTGGGTCGGCCCACATGCAGATATGCCCACATCTGAGTACCCAGCGCGAAGACTTTCCCCATGCTACACCATGCTTCAAGACAACATTTCATTTGTTTGTCATTAGAAATTAATATTTCACAATATATATAATGACATCTCATTTTTGTGATGAATCACTATGCTTTCGCGATGTTCAATTTGTAACAAAAATATATGCTGCATATCAGATATTGACATGACGATTCATCATAGTAGCAGAATGACAGTGCTGAAGTAGCCATGAAAATAGTGTTATGGTTGGAGGTCACCACCACATGAGGAACTGTATTAAAGGGTTGCGGCATTAGGAAGGTTGAGAAAAACTGTCTTAAACCGAGTCACTTCTAAGCTATAAAATCAGGCAGACTAGACACAGGAAGGGGCACAAAATGGGAGAAGATGGATGCCATGTGACCCAGAGATTGCCAAGACATCCAAGAATGCTGGGCCTTCAGAAGCTGAGAGAGGTGAGGCTCTTCCCCAAAGCCAACAGTAAGAGCAAGCCTTCCCCTAGCTTGGTGAAGCCTTGAATTTGAACTTCTAGCCTCAAGAACTTGGTGCAAATGAATTTCTGTCTTAGGTACATGTGGTATTTCTGTTCCAGCAGCACTAGGCAACTGAGGCAGACTCCTTCATCGAGCTGTACCTGAAGCTGGTCCATGCACACCTTCCCCAAACAATCAATTGTGTGTGCAGCAATGTGCACTGGGGAGCATGTGGTTATTCTGGCATGCCCTGCCTCCCTTGGATCTCTGGCTCCTCCTCCCCTACCCCCACCGGGCCTCACCTTGAGTTTGGACAGTTGGCCCAGTTCCTTGGCTGCATTGAAGATCATCTGGGTTCCCTACATGGAAGAACAGACGCGAACGGGATGAGGGCAGGGGTTGTTCCAGCCCAGCCCTCAAATATCTTGCTGACACCCTGGCCCCGGACACGACCTCAGTTCTTGTCCCAAGGCTCTGCCTGGGTGGCATCCCCAGAGGGGGCAGGGATCTGCAGTCTCCCAGGAGGTGCTGTGAAGGAGATGATGACCTTGGCCCCCCCAACCTCAGACCCATGGGGACTCTACCCACCCTACCATCCCCATCATGACCCTAGGACCATGAGATCAGAGATGGGAGCTGGCCTTGAGGGCTGTGGGTGGAATGGGGCCAGACTTGGGGGGTGGGGAAGAGGGAGTGGAGTTTGCCAGCTGCAGGTGAGGACCTTTGAGAAAACCACCGGATGGTTCAGAGTCCTGGGGAAAGGGCTCTGGGGAGGGAAACCCTTGCCTCACCCATGGGACCACCCTCCCCTTAGGGAAAGGGAATCACCCCAGGAAACTGGGGGTGCCATTGGCCTGATCTTTTAAAGGAAGACCATCCCCTCCCTCTCCGCAACGCCCATCCCTCCACAAAACAGATACCACAAAGATGGTATTGTGGTTATGGCCCTGGGTGCAAATCCCAGCCCTGCTGTGTGGCCCTGGGCAAGTCACTTAACTTCTCTGAGCTTCCCTTTGCCACCTGCACTGCGTCCACTTCCTCGGTTAGGGGGGGACTGGATCTTTTTGCCCAGTGTTCGCTGTTAGCGCTTGATGCAGCAGCCTCCAAAGGGTCAGAGGCGGAGCTGGCAGAGGGAGGTGGGTCCTAGCCTGGCAGTCCTGTGTCCTGTCCCCTCCCTATTTCCTCTAGCACCACTCCATATGACCTTGGTAATGCCCGAGTGGTCCTTTCTGGGCCTCACGGATAATTGGGATATGAGGCTTGCTTGAGGGTGTGGCGGGGCTGAGTATAGACAAGGCCAGAAGTCCTGCATTTCTAGATCCTGGAGTGCTCGGAGGGTCCTGTGCTGGGTTAAGCAGGCTGGGGGGCTTTTACAGCTGGACTAGCTGGAATTGTGCTGATAGGCTAAGAGCTAGCCTCGTTGGCCACTGCTACTGGCGTGATGATGATGTTACTACTCTCGTTTCTGCTCTGCAGTGCCTTGAGGCTCTCACCAGGCACAGTGACCCAGGAGCCCAGCTGTCTGGGCCTCAGGTTCCTCTGTTGCATCTGCCTGTAGTCTGGTGAGGACATTCCCCCCCCACCTCCCTCTGCCCACCAACCCCCACGAGCAAGCCAGACAGACAAAGGAAGAAGAGACCGACAGACAGGTTCACAGTGGGTCCCCGGACGGCATGGACCACAGAGGCGGGAGGGGGCACGGGGTGGAGGGGTGGGGGTAGGAGCCAGACAGACAGTGAGAGGCCGGTCTTACGTCTGAGTGGCTTGGCAATTTCACCCTGCCCTGTGGAGAGAATCAGGTGGAGGTCAGAGTTCTGCTGGCTGCGGAGGGGATATTCAGTGGGACTTCCCTACCCCCTCAAAGCACAGTCCCCCTCTCCAGCCCTTGAGCTCCCTCCCAGGTCCTGGTCTCTTTCCCAGGTGGGCATCTTTCCTTGTCCCTTCGGTGGGGGCTCAGGGACAGACTCCTGGATTATCAGGGCCCTCTGGGGGCATCCAGGAGGCTGAAATGAGCCCCTCACCTGGGGATACATGGGCAGATCCCACAGTCAGCCCACTCTGGGATGGGGCCCCTTGGGGATTGGGAGAGGAGAGAGGGGGCTTGGGGGTCTCTCCCCTCCTCACCCCCAATGGCTTATCCCAAAGTGACTCAAAAGAAACACACCAACAGGTATTTCCAGTACACGCAACACAGACACACCCAGGCAAGTCTACATGCATGCACAGAAAGTTCATGCCTGCACACAGCCAGATCAACATACAAAGACATACACACAGATGCAGAATTCACACTAAAACACACAGTGCACTCCGACACATTTGTACATGTGGGCACAACCACGCACACACACCTGCACAATCTCACCCTCACACACATGCGCCTAGGCGCATAGGGTGCCTGGTACATAGGGTGCCCCCCATGAAGTTGGCAGAGCGAGTGAGAAACCCAGAGCTTAAGTGCATGAAGTTGAGATCCTGTGAGTGTGCACATGGACAGGACAGCTTTTGCACAAGTTCTGAGCAGGGCAATTTCCCAGGGCCGCTCCAGCTCCCATTGCCTTAGAGCGGATAGCCATTGGAACAAAGTCCACCAAATCAGTGCATGGCCCCGCCCAGGGCAGTGCTCCAGTAGCCGGGCACTCTGCAAAGCGAGAGTTTCAGCTGAGCCCCAGACTGGGAGGAGCCCTGGGGGTATTGCCATGAGAAGGGGAGGAGGGCTGTCTGTCACACCTGCACGCATACTTCAAGTGGTGTCCTTAGGGAATCCCCTTGTCTCCAACTCAGGTTTTGTTCATCCTGGTTAGGGAACCCACCTCCTACCCATGCCCTCCATTGCCCCTCCAAACACACACACACACACACACACACACACACACACACACGCACGCGCAGACACCGGAGCTTGGGGCCTCAGTGGGGGCGAGGCCCTCATTACCTTTTCTAATCCCTTGCCATGTTTTCTCAAGAGGGTCCCCTGCAGAGACAACGTCACAGGGTGATCAACCTGGTAATTTGTGTTGGGTGGGATAGGGAGAAGGGGGTAAGGGACACCTGTACCATACAGGGAGGTGGCTGAGTGGCCTGAGGGAACGATACGTGTATGTCTTACTGATTGACTTAAAAGGTGTGAGAGAGAGGGAGGAAGGGAGGGTTGTAGGGAGGAAGAGAGAGAGAAAAGAGAGAAGCAGAGATAGAAAGACAAACAGAGAAAGGTGTGTAGTCACCGTCAAAATACAACCCAATTACATTTACTGGACATCTGAGGCTCTTGGCTGTCTTGGGTTCACAGGGCCTCCAATGGGCTTCATCTTCAGAGGCCGTCATGTGAATTCTGACTCTGGCTCACATTTACTATGTGACCTTAAGCAAGTGATTCCCCCTCTCTGACCCTCCCTTTCCCCGTCCACCAAACGGGAATCGGCTCTTATGTCTACTTCGTTCTGAGGGTTGTCACGAAAGCAAGTTGAAACAGCAGCTACGAGAAGGTCTGTTACAGCAGACCCTGGAGAAAACTTGCTCTCCTCCGTCTCCCCACCGACGAGTGCATCACTTGTGATTGCGTATGCTGCCACCAGGTGGTGACAGGTAAAATTCCCGGTTGGTATGCTGCCACCAGGTGGTGACAGGTAAAATTCCCGGTTGGTATGCTGCCACCAGCTGGTGACAGGTAAAATTCCCGGTTGGTATGCTGCCACCAGCTGGTGACAGGTAAAATTCCCGGTTGCAGCTTCCAAGAAGTGAGATGAGCACAAGAAAACTTCGGACAAAATGAAACTATGTTCAACTCGTTTGCCTCATGCACCAAAGGCGCCTCAGATGCTGTTCACTGGCATGTCCCTACCCTTGGGTGCATCCTTGTCTTGTCCCCACTGCCCCAGACAATAAGGTGAGCTCGGGGTTCCTGAGCATTGCCTCTGGGCCGGCCACTGGGATGAGTCCTTGCATGCATCATCACACTTCATCTTGACACCAACCCTCAGGGTCGTTGCTGAAAAGGAACGCTATTTTCCCAGAAAAACCTACTGAGCTTGGGAGGTGCAGTGACTGCCCTGGGTCACAAAGAGAGAGCAGCCAGGCCAGGATTGGACCCCCGGTCTGTCTGAAACCCCGTCCTAAGCACTTGGAAGAACTGATGTGTGTGAATTATGGTGTTGGCAAAGAAGATTAGGATTAGCATTGACGGCCAGAAGAACCACAACTCCTTAGAGGTTAGGATCGCGAGACTTTGGACACGTCATCCAGAGGGACTAGTCCCTGGAGAAGGACCTCATGCTTGGTAAAGAAAGCAGAGCGTCAAAGAGAAAGACCCTCAGTGAACTGAATCGACAGTGTCCGCAACAACGGGCGCGGGCAGCAAGGACTGTGAGGACGGGCAGGCGCAGGTAGGGCTCTGTCTGTTGTTTGTGAGCCAAACCGGACCCAGGAGCACCGAACTACTGCCTAACATCAAACCCATGAAGGTGGCTCCTGTCTGGGCGCCTCGGTGTGTGTCTGGGTTTCTGCGTGTCTGCGTGGGCAGGGGAGGGGTGTGGAGGGATGATAGAGGGATGGAGGGTGGAGCTGGGACTTTGGGTAGGGGTGGGGGTGTCAGACGTGAGAGCAAGTGGTTAAGGACCTTCATTTTGGGAGGCCTGAGAACAGTTCAGACTCTGAAGAGGTGGTCAGAGGTGGCCCCTTGACTTTGCACCTCTTTTGAACTTGCGGGAGAGACCCCAGTATCCGGGGTGGTGGTGTCTAAACCCAGGATGAGGGAGAATCTAACCAAAGGGCGAGGACAGAGGCGGAGGGGAAGCTGGGTCTCTGGTTTGGGGGCAGTTTGGTCCCTCTGTCTTAAGACATTAGGAGGCAGGGTGGATGGGCGTGGTCTCCCTCCCTCCCGGCCCCGCCCCTCCCCATGCCCCGCCCCGAGACAGACACAGGCACATCTAGGCGGAGAGGGGGGACGCTGGGTGAGGAGGGGGCGCTGGGTGAGGGGAGGGAGTGCAGCCGGGCGGCGGGCCGAATCCAGAACATAGAGCGGACGGACAGACAGACGGACAGACGGGCCTCTACTTACGATCATCTGTCGGCCGTGTGGGCGGGGCGGTGGGGGAGGGGGGGAATAAGGTACCGTGAGTCTCCTGGGAAGGCCAGGGACCGGGCGGCGACGGCACTGAGGGCGGACCCCGCGCTCCAGCCCAGCCCAAGCCCCTGGAGGTGGAGGGGCGGGAAGTCTGAGCTGACGCCCCATGGTTGCCTTTCTGCGACCCCTGCCCTCTGGAGTCCTCTCCATCACCCCGGAGCGTCCTCCCCCGCCAGCCTGTGGTCTCAACTTGCGTGCCATCGCTGACCTCAGGTGCCCCCCCTGCTTCCGCAGACCCCCCAGGGCAGGACCTGTGGATGCCCACCCAGACACGCCCCTCCTCCACGATGCTGGGGTCCCCACTCCCAGCCAGCAGCGGGTTTCCCCAGGCTCCAGTCCACAGCCTGGTCTCTGGGACGGTGGACTCTGTTCCTGGCGGTCTCAAGCGCACATTCCTGGTCTCTGGACGACCTTGACCTCTTGGACTTTGGATGTTCTCCATGACCTCTGGGTGCCTTCCCGGAGCCCGAGGGTCTACTGGTCTCTGATCTTTGAAGTCCCTGTCTCCCCTCTTTATCTCTCGATTGACCTCAAGGCCCTTGGATGAAACTGCTGACCCCTAGAAGACCTCTATGACCTTTAGATACCCGAGACCCCCAGGTCACCTCTCTGTTCCCAGATCAACATCTTTTTCACGACATGTTTCCTGGCCTTCAAAGGATCCCTGACTCCAAGTGTGACTTCTCCAATCATTGACTAACCCTGCCTGTCGTCTGAAGGACATCCTTGAGCTGTGGATGACCCTTGACCCTTGTGTGACCTCTCTAATCTTGGAATGGTCCCACTGACCTCTGGTGGACTCTAAGAACCTTCGGTGACCCTTGTGCCTGGTCGACCTCTCTGAGCCCCCAGTGCCTTTTGGCCTGGTCCCTGCAGTCTCTAGGCTCTCTGGACTCCCATGGGGTGGTGGCCCCAAGTGGCCCCTCTGGCCCACACTGGGCCTCACCGTTTGGTCAGTGAGAGGTGGCAGGACGATGGTCTTTTCCATGGTGTTCATGACCAGCTTCCACAGCTCCTTCAGCACCCGCTTCAGCACCGTCTTCTCGCAGATTTTGGCAAAGAGGGTCAGGCTGGGGGCAAGGGGCAAGGCTGAGACAGGGACTGACTGGCCCTGGTTCCAGGTGCCCCTCCCCCACAAGTCCATCTTCCTTCCTTCTACCCTCTCATCCATTCCTGCATCCATCTTTGTATGAATTTATTATTCTACCCACCCATCCACCCAACCGTCCATCCATCGGTCCATCCACTTGTCTATTCATCTACGTACTCTGACTCAAGTCGGGCGGACTTTATCCTCGTCATCCACCCATCTAGCCATCCACTCATCCATTCTTTTCTATCCACCTATCCTCTATTTGTCCTACTAAGCGCTTATCTTTTAGCCCACCCATCTCTCAGGTCATCTCTCTGTCTAACCACCAACCATTCATACCAAATATTTACCCACCCATCCTTCCAATGAGGAGCCCGGTGGTACAGTGGTTATGCATTAGGCTGCAACCCAAAAGGTCAGCAGTTTGAAACCACCAGCTGCTCTGAGGGAGAAAGACGGGGCCTTCCTACGCCCGCCAACGGTTACAGTCTCGGGAACTCACAGGTCCAGTTCTGCCCTATCCTTTAGGGTAGATATGGGTCAGCATCAACTCCATGGTAGTGAGTTTGGTTTGGGTTGTACCTTCCAGTAATCTATCTGTCCCTTCCTCCACCTCTGTATCCGTTGATTCCGTCATGCCTGTACCAGCCCACGCATCAAATCATTCAAGCAACCCACAAATCAGAGGACTCTCGAAATCAGCCCCCAGGTCTCCATGGCCCCACTCCCGTAGGTCCCTCCCTTTCCAGCCCCACCCACCAGCCTGGCTTACTTGCTGTCCAGCAGGTCCATGATGGGCTGGAGCACGTTGTCAGCGTCCTGGGCCACGCTGCTGCAGGCACTGGCTGGCACATTGCCTGTGCCCTTCACCTGGCTAAGGATGTCACCCATCTGCTTGACACACTCTTCGATGTGCGGCTGGAAGCTGGGGACACAGAGAGGAGTAAGCCCAGATTCTCACAGCCTCTCGGGCAGAATCAGATGAAGGACTCCGACCTTCTATCACCAGCACTCACTCACTCCCTGCCATCGAGGGGAGGCCTACTCATGGTGACCCTACAGGACAGGGTGGGGTCCTGCCCCTTTGAGATCCCCCAAGGGTAACTGTTTACAGGAGTAGAAAGCCCCGTCTTGTTCCCGCAGGAGGGGCTGGTGGTTATGAACTGCTGACCTTGCAGATCGCAGCCCAACGCATCACCACTACTCCACCCGGGCTCCATCACTAGCACTAGGGAGTCAGACCTGGTATCAGAGTAAGGGAGTGGAGGCACAATGACAGCAATCTCAGCCACCACTGTCCCTATAACCGGGCACTCTGCTCAGCCAGCCACCTGTGCTGTCCATTTCATTGTCACGGTCCTACTCAGGTACTATCATTACTGGACATACAGCTGAATAAACTAAGGCTCAGTGAGGGTAAGGGATCTGCCCTAGACCATGCAGCTAGTTGGTGATGGGATCAGAAGTTGACCTCAGCTCCATCGAATGCTAAGCCTGAGGTCTTTACCATTCATCTACTGAATCTCTTCTACACGCGCCCGGCTCAGAGGACTGGGAGCTGCTCCCTCCCCTTGCCCCTAGCTTGGGAGATGCCCCCACCTGGTAGCAAACACCCGGCTGAGCTCATCCAAGACGTTGTTGAGTTTCACCTGAAGCTCCTTCAAAATGTCACTGGCCTCGGCATCCAGCTGGAGGAGGAGGAGCCACGTCAGGTCCGGTGGGCATGGCGTGTCCCTACTCCCGGGTGCTTTCTCAATGAGCACCATGAGAAAATGATGCTCAGAGGCTGGAGAGGACACCGGGGCCCAGACGGCCGAGCAGCTTTCTGGGGTTTGAGGGAGCAGCTCTGGGGCTTGCAGGAACCTAGGGGTGGCCGGGAGCCTGCCCCATCTGCAGACCCTCCAGGAATCCGTCTCACCTCCTTCCCGCCCATGGCTTCGAACATCTTTTCAAGCTGAACTCGTAGCTGTTGAGTGTTGTTCATGAGGATACAGGGCTGAGGATGGGAACAGAGGGGGAGTTGGACCGTGTGACCCTTCTCCAGCCCCCCCCCCCACTTTCTGGGGACATTCTTTGGGGGTTGGGTCTGGAGGAAGGTGGAATCTAAGCATGGAAGATGGTATTGGGGCCCAGGTTCTCTGGGTTGCTGGGGGATTTCTAGGGACTCGGGGGTAGGCAGAGAGGGACTAAAGTAACTTCCACTAGGGTCTGAGTTAGACCCATGGCGGATCTCAGCGAGAGGTGGTTCTCTGCGAGTACTATGAAGAGGATTACTGATCACGCACACACATTCTCCACTCAGACTCAAGGCTTTGCACATTCACCTCCACCCTCACAAAAATGGTCAGAGCAGGAGGTGGGATCAAGGTGGGAATCAGAGTCATGGTGGAGGCTGAGAGTGAGGTTAGAGTTGGGATTGAGGTTCGGTTTAGGCTCGGTGATGTCACTGATGGTGGGGGTGTT